CATATTATCGCTGATATCTATGGGCACAATCATGCTCTCTAATTTAAGTCAGAAGTAGAATATATAGATTCACTTTTTCTAAAATTATGGTTTTGAGCCTAAAACCCCGGTTTGTTAATTTGCCCTCCTGTTTGGCAAATTTGGAACTCAAACCATAGTTTGAATCCTAAAACCATTATTTCATCATATTGCCAAACAGGCCCTTAGTGCATGCATACAAAAAATTTATATTTTGACATAGTTTATTATCTTAGTTAGAGTGTAGCAGTTTCGGCAAAATTGAAGATCAATCCCTCATTAAAAAATTAATTAAAAAAATTCTCTAAAAATTTTGTTCAATTCAACTTCTTTTATCGGCAGTCAATATTTCATATGTATAAATCAGTCGTAATGTGTTGTACAAACCACTTTTTTTTTTTTTGGGGTATAACTAAGCTTTTCTTGTACGTAACTTATATTCATTCCCAGTTTTCCAACTTACGATCTGAGAGGTTAGAGCACAACACTTTCACCATGCCATGATTTTGATAGGCAGAGTATAAATTTTTTTTATATTAATATCTTTCTCAATCCTTTTAATTCTAAAAAATATAAGAATGAAAACATTAAGTTAAATATTCAGTTTTCTTTTTTCTCGTATAATAATATGATAAGTTTGAAAAGAATAAATTTACAAATCCCAATAATTTTACTTTATTTTCAATTGGATTATAGTTTTCGTCCTTTTATCAACTTTTTATCGTTTCTCATGATTTTTTTAATCAGTTCCTCATAAATTCATGTAACTTATTAAGATTAGGAATGTAATTAAAAATTAAATAAAACTAAAATGACATAGTAAAACATAGAAAAATTTAATTAAAATAAGATAAAACTATAAGAAAATGATTAAAGAAATTATAGGAATCGAATTAAAAAGATATTAATGCGTGGGTATATATTTGAGGCCTTGAATAGTTGGGAGGCCTAGGCAACTGAGGCCTCACGTCGTTGCAACAAGGGAGAAGTCATTTTCAGATATTAACTTCACCTTATTATCAACATTAATGCCATTGTTGTTGGTTTATAGCTTTACACATTAATCACACAAAGTGCAAACATGTGTTCCACCACTTGTGGACGCGTCTTCACATCTAACCTTTGTCCTATTCTACATGATATACAAGCGTAAAATAAGGGGAAAAAACGATAAATATATTAGTTAATATGAATTTATTTAAAAATTTTCGTATTTTTAAATACACACTCACGAGTTGGCAAAAATAAATACACACACACATATATTATTTTTCCTATTTTTTAGTTTATTATTTTAAAATCAAATCAGATAGTTTTTGTTGTATGAGTAAATCATTCTTACATATGTTATACTACCTCTTGTCCTTATTATAATTCATGTTTAACTAATTCACACATACCAATAAGAATAGTTAAAATATTAAATTTGTCATAAAACTAAAGTGATTTTTAGTATTACTCTTGTTAACTATACTAAACTCCATCATAATATTAATTTTTATTCTTTCATGACCCTTATTAAATATGAACATATACGGCAAAAACATTGAATACCTTATAAAAAAACTAAAAATACTTGTTAGTTGATGCCTTATAATAGGAACCATAGCGAATGTATATTTTTGTTCAAGAAAAGTTTAAATATACAAAATAAACTATATAGTAAAGTTAATGATAAAGTAACCCTAACAATTCACTCTAAATAAATAATATAACTAGTTCATTTAATGTCTTGTAGCATAGTTCATCTTAGAATCAATGTGATTTTAATTTTAAAACTTTTTTCAATAATAGTACCTATAACAAGTAGTGTAAATGATACTTTCTAAAGGGGTGTTTGGATGAAACCAAATAATAGTTTAAAGAATAACTTCTGGAGAATATATTCTTGGGAGAATATATTTTATGAAGAAGTAATTCCGATAAAGTGAGAGTGTTTGAATAGTTATTATTAGAAGCACTTTTTATATGTGCAAATTGCTAAAAAAGGTATAATTTAATATGATAATTACATAAAAGATAGATTTTATAATATATTTTAATTTGAAAGAATAAAATTGTTAATAATGTATTTTTTTACCAACATAATTAATAATATATAAGAAAATGTAATTAATAAATAATTAATATGTGTGTATATTTATAAAATATAAGAATAAATATGTTTATAAAAAAATAATTGAAGGGTGTTAAAGTCATATTATCGTTGAAATCTACTTTGACAGGCACAATCATACTCTCTAATTTAAATCAGAAGCAGAATAGATTCACTTTTTCTGAAACTAAAGTTTTGAGCCCAAAACCACGGTTTGTTAATTTTCCCTCCTATTTGGCAAATTTGGAACCTAAACCATGGTTTGGATCCCAAAACTATGGTTTCATTATATTGCCAAACAGGTCCTTAGTGCATGCATGCAAAAAAATTTATATTTTGACATAGTTTATTATCTTAGTTAGAGTATAGCAGTTTCGGCAAAATTGAGGATCAATCCCTCATTAAAAAATTAATTAAAAAAATTCTCTAAAAGTTTTGTTCAATTCTACTTCTTTTATAGGCAATCAACATTTCATATGTATAAATCAGTCGTAATGTGCTGTACAAACCTTTTTTTTTTTGGGTACAGCTAAGCTTTTCTTGTGTGTAACTTATGTTCACTCCCAATTTTCCAACTTACGATCTGAGAGGTTAGAGCACAACACTTTCACCATGCCATGATTTTGATAGGCAGAGTATAAATTTTTTTTATATTAATATCTTTCTCAATCCTTTTACTTCTAAAAATAATATAAGAATGAAAACATTAAGTTAAAGATTCACTTTTCTTTTTTCTCATATAATAATATGATAACTTTGAAAAGAATGATTTTCCAAAGTAGAAATCCCTATAATTTTACTTTATTTTCAATTGGATTATAGTTTTCGTCCTTTTATCCATTTTTTATTGTTTCTCATGATTTTTTTAATCAGTTGCTCATAAACTCATGTAACTTATTAAGATTAGGAATGTAATTAAAAATTAAATAAAACTATAATGACATAGTAAAAAATAGAAAAATTTAATTAAAATAAAGTAAAACTATAAGAAAATGATAAAAGAAATTATAGGAATCGAATTAAAAAGATATTAATGCGTGGGCATATATTTGAGGCCTCGGACAGTTGGGAGGCCTAGGCAGTTGAGGCCTCACGTCCTTGCAACAAGGGAGAAGTCATTTTCAGATATTAACTTCACCTTATTATCAACATTAATGCCATTGTTGTTGGTTTATAACTTTACACATTAATCACACAAAGTGTAAACAAGTGTTCCACCACTTGTGGACGCGTCTTCACACCTAACCTTTGTCCTATTCTACGTGATATACAAGCGTAAAATAGGGGGGGAAAAACGATAAGTATATTATTTCATATGAATTGATTAAAAATTTTCGTATTTTTAAATACACACACAAGTTGGCAAAAATAAAAATACACATACACATATATTGTTTTTCCTATTTTTTAGTTTATTATTTTAAAATCAAATCAGATAGTTTTTGTTGTATGAGTAAATCATTCTTACATATGTTATACTATTTCTTGTCCTTATTATAAGTCATGTTTAACTAATTCACACATACCACTAAAAATAGTTAAAATATTAAATTTGTCATAAAACTAAAGTGATTTTTAGTATTACTCTTGTTAACTATACTAAACTCCATCATAATATTAATTTTTATTCTTTCATGACCCTTATTAAATATGAACATATACTGCAAAAACATTGAATACCTTATAAAAAAAACTAAAAATACTTGTTAGTTGATGCCTTATAATAGGAACCATAGCGAATATATATTTTTGTTCAAGAAAAGTTTAAATATAAGCTATAAAGATTAATAAAGAGTCTAAAGAAGAGAAACGATACATGATTAAGAGCTCATTTAGAATGGTTTAGAAGTAGATTTCTAGATTACAAGACACACACATAGAGACATATAAAAAGAGTTTTGTCTTGGTTTATATATGTAAAACATGTTTATAAGCACTTAAATGAGCCAACTCAAACAACTACTAATTCTTAATCAACATGTGATAATCAATGCAAAGTAATCAATTCAATAGGTAATAAATAAATTGAAAAATGAATTAAATTTGTAAACAGATATAAAAAGTAATTTTTTAAAAAGGACCACCTTATCTCAAAATTTTTAACTTATATGTGGCATCATGTATTACAAAAAAAAATGCTGAGGTGGACCTATAGTCATATAATAAAAGATACTCCCTCTGTTCCTTATTATAAGAGACAAATAACCAAATTATGTTGATAAAAAAAATAGTTAAAATTAGTTGAATACAATTAATGTGTAAAAAGTATAATGTTTTTTCCAACAATACCCCCATTAATAAAGAGATAGAGTATGAGAGAGAACAATTAAATTATTAAAAGATAGAGAAGTAGGAGGGAGAAAGAGTATGAGTTGGAGACAAAATAAATAGGGATAAAACAGGAAATCAATACAAAAAAAATAGAGACAACTTTTAAGTGTCTCTTATATATGGGAACATGTCATAAGCATCAAATGCTCTTATAATAAGGAATAGAGGGAGTAAGATTCAAAATGATAATATTATAAGAAGAGCAGATGTGGTACTCATTGATAAAAAAAATAGGTGAAAATCAAATAGAATGCTCAATAGAGTTATTAAGTAGGATTTTTTGGTGAGATGAAACTTCTTGTCGTTATGATATGGCATGAGGGATTATTACATATCCATGTTTATACATATAAATTTTAGAGTCCTCTTTAAATTTTAAAATACAGAGAGGAGCAAATGACCAAATACCCCAAAGGACCAACACTCCCCGCTGCCCTTCAGTCTTCATGGAAATTATTGCGCAGAATTAAGGGCATTATCGTATTTACGGCTGCTCCCCGAGTCTTCTTGCAAACAGGCAAACATAAAGACGCTACGAAGCTCACCGAGAGTACGACACTTCGGAATTACGCCTCTAATCTAAAACACTCTCTCGTTCCGTCCAAAGGAAGTCTCAATTTTCTGGAGAGAGAAGCAATTTCAGCCATGGCTGCTTCCAGTCGTACGAACCTGCCGGACCACTTCAAGTGTCCGATTTCGCTCGAGATAATGTCTGACCCGGTTATCCTCTCCTCCGGTCACACCTTCGATCGGTCTTCAATCCAACGGTGGCTCGACGCTGGCCACCGGACTTGTCCAATTACGAAATTACCCCTCCCTGATTGTCCTTCCCTCATACCCAATCACGCTCTCAGAAGCTTGATTTCAAACTATTATCATATCTCACCATTCAAGCAGCAGCCTCCTCAACCGGAAACCTTAATTTCCGCCATTACCTCTCGCTCGTCGCCATTGGAGAGCAAAATTGAATCACTTGACCAACTTACGCGCCTGTCCAAGCGTGACTCGGTTTTCCGTCGCCGGATGACTGAGTCAGGAGTCGTGTCGGCGGTGCTGAACTGTGTTGACTCTGGTGAACCTTGTGTACAGGAGAAAGCGCTTTTGTTGTTACTCAATCTTAGTCTCGACGACGATAACAAGGTGGGTTTGGTGGCGGAGGGTGCGATAGGGAAGGTTGTGGCTGTTCTGTTAGGTGGCTCACCTGATTGCCGAGCGGTGGCAGCAACCATGTTGACGAGTTTGGCGGTTGTGGAGGTGAACAAAGCCACAATTGGTGCGTATCCATATGCTATAGGAGCTCTTGCTTCTCTTCTTCGAGATGGTGAAGGCAAGGAGAAGAAAGAAGCGGCTACAGCGCTCTATACTATATGTTCTTTTCCGGATAATCGGAGGAGAGCCGTAGAATGTGGGGCAGTCCCGATTTTGCTGAGAAGTCTTGATTCTGGCCTTGAAAGGGCTGTTGAAGTTCTTGGTCTGTTGGCGAAGTGCAGGGAATGTAGAGAACAAATGGAAAGGTATAATGGATGCATACAGATTTTAGTACGGGTGCTGAGGAATGGAAGCTCGAGGGGAATTCAATATGCCCTGTTAGCACTGAATTCCATTTGCTGTAACAGTGAAAAAATGGTCCTGGAGGCGACTAAAGAAGGAATTTTGGATACTTGTCTGGGATTGCTGGAGGATGATAATGAAAAGATAAGGAGAAATTCATCCAGTTTGATTAAGGTTCTGCGTGGCAACCATCGGGTTAGTTGATAGGAATATCAGAGTACATTGAGAAGCTAGAAAGAGTCAGTTTTGATAAGATTTGTTGTCCGCAGTGGAGGTGAGTCGGGTTATTTGTTCTTTTTATTCTACCTTGTTGGTTAGGTCCTGTATAAAAAGAAGATAATTTTTTATGGTTACAAGGTTCATTTGTATCTTGTACATTGAATATAGATGATGGGGTAGGTCTCTGTTGTTAGCTGTGATGTTAAGAAAGTTGTTTGTTGGTCGTCTTGAATTGTAATCTTCCATAGTTTCAGATTCTTGGTCTTCAAGAAAGTTGCTTGTTGGTTGTCTTGAATTGTAATCTTCCATAGTTTCCGATTCTTGGTCTTCAAGCAATGATCATATATTGGATTAGTCGCGTTATCTTTGAGTTTTCCCAACAATGTATAGGTATACTTTATTGAAGGAATTGTGGGTTGAGTTTCCAATCATGTTTTGTGTCCGCTGAGAAGCTTAAATGTGCTTTTAGAGGCATAGTTGAGTAACTCAAGCCTAATGCCTTTGTAATTTTGAATAAATACTTCCGAACAATTCCGTTGGTTATTTTTTGACAAAAGTTTACTGGATGGAAGAGTCTAATACTGTTGTCTATGTGAGTCATAAATTGAAGTTATAGAAATCCATCTCATGTAGTTAATGCTTTATGCTTGTTATAGTCATGTTGAAGAACAAACATGCAGCGTTGATCTACCAATTTGGCAAAAGGTAGTTTTTGAGTTATTATGATGGATTTTAAATCCCAGTTTGCCAGTGAAAGATTTGCGTAAATAATCTTCTAATCATTTATTTGCAGAATACAATTGCTCAATGGCTGCATTGTGCAGTTGCATGAATCAGTAGAGTAAATTACTTCATTCCTTGCCTTCTATTTATATGATCTACTGATTAACATTTTCATGCTGCCTAGGTCAAACACGAGTTAATAGAACATATTGCATGGTTTTTTTTCCTGAAATAGTCCTTTTTGATTATACATCAGTATCGTCACAAAGTTCTTTATTTTATTATTAGTATTTTTTTCAACTGGTTCTGTGTCTAGTGCTGTTTTGCTCCTAAGCATTTTTATGTGGATCGGTGGGTGGTTGGCAATTAGTAGAGAGCTTGGCTTCGTAACTTTATTGCCTCTATCCTTTATCTTTTAATAAATGGGTCTTCTTGGTGTCTGGGCAGAATTGTGACTACTTGGTCTTTTCACAGCTTGACCTCTCTGCGGGGGGGAAAGTCTTGCTCCAAAGCGTGTAACCACCAATTTTATGTCATTTTAGTTACAACATCTTCTTGTTCCGTCTTTAATGGATGGTTTTCCTGCTCTTGATCTTAAAGTTAGTTGTTAACCATGCTATTATGAAATCCGTGTCAGACTTTGAGAGATTCTTATCTAATCACCACACCTGATGAGCTGCGGATTTTAAGCTTTTCTCCCATATACTAGTAAAAGAGAATAGGCACATCTGAGACAGAGCTATCTGCAAATTCTTTAGGGGGCTAAATAATTAATCAAGTTTATAGTATTTCTCAAGGTTAGCTATGCATTCATTAAAAAAAAACACTAATCCCTGTAATTTCAGCAATTCCCCCAAGCTGCTCTTTTAGTTCAGTTGCCAGATTTGATAAAACAATTTGCGTAGTTGACTGATTAGTCATGAGTTTATCTTAAAATTTCTTAGATATACAGTACTTCTATGGATGTAATTCTTGCTTCTCTGAGTGGAGCAAATCTGATGTGGTAGATAGCATTAGAGCAGAGCACTTGTTTGGCGTTTTCTCTTTTAGTTGCATTAGGCAGGTTAGTTCACCGTTTACCCACCAAATATTGCCATAGTTGGTTAATCATAGGAAGAACAATATGGTCAAAGAATTAATATTTTGGATAACTAGATGTAAAATTGGATATTATATAATGTCCTCGATGTTGATTCATCTGTCACGAGACTAGGTTGGTCAACACCTACTTTCCCCTGTATTTGGCTACTTTTGTTCATGTCTTTGGCCCTTTACCTACTGTATAGAACCTACTTTCTTTAATTCCTGATTGATTCCTTGCGTATTGAAGGAGGCAGAGAGGACTTTTTGATAGCATATTTATTGGATATAACTGCCTTTGATGGACCCCTTTTATTTTTGCCAAACTTGCAGCGACAACAAAATGAATCCCTTTCCCCCTATTTATTTGATTTAATTTCATTTAATGTAATTTTGGAATCTCATTTTGCTCCTGTATCACTTTCATATCATCCTTCATTAGTCTGATCTGGACATGTTTTGAGCAATATCACTACCATCTTATTGCTTTTCTATTCATATCTATCTCAAACTGCGTTTTTTTTTTTTTGGGGTCTGCTTGTTCTGCAGTGGGTTGAGGCTGGCTTACTTTGAATATTTGACATAGCCGGAGTCTAAAGAAAGTAGAATCTATATCCACCTTGTATTTAAATATTGTAAACTTTTCGAGAATATACAAAGTGAATATAGAAAGTATATTTCTAGAGAGGGACGTAAAATATGGTTGTGTATGGAACAAATTTATCATAATTTGGTGGTTTGAATTGATTATTGGACATTGGACAATTTTGGATTTAGCTATGAATATTCCATCTTCGGCCTACGGCAGTGAACAACTGGGGGACTTGATATGCAATAATTGTCATAATTACTTCTAGACCAGGCGTGGTCTACACTTAATCAAAGTATCAATGTCCAATCCTTACTAGCAAAGGAGAGAATTTCAATAAAACCCCACAGAAGCAAATTAATTTAAAATCATGGCTAAATAAATTAGAAATATTGCTGGCTAAAAAGACTATTGCTGGCTAAATGATTTTTATTTTAGTTTTAAATATAGGATCTTAATTTAATTTGTTTCTCATATTTTTTTTTTAAGATAATCCTTATAATAATGACAGTTCTAGCTAATAAATTTAATTAGTAAGGATATTTTAGAAAAGACAATACTTATTTATTATAAATAATTAACTTCATTTATTTTCTTATTCTATTTAAATTAGTCAATTAGCTTTTATATTTAGGATTGGAGGTTGTATGTTTTAAGGAGTAACAAGTAAAATGCCCTCTTTTTTTTTTTTGATACAAGAGAGGGCAAAGCCAAGTAAAGAAAACTAAGTAGGAAGGGAAATGAATCCCACACTCTACAATCATCCGCAAGTGAATCGGACACGAATCCAAAATAGAAAATCTTGAAAGACCCTCTTTCGCCAAGGCATCAGCAATCTGATTCTGTTGTTTTGAAATAACTTGTAACTTTAGTTCCCAAAATGCCCTTCATTTTTATGGGAAAAAGGTTTTGTCCACTTCTTTGTTAGTCGCTAGAGTTGCCATCGCTTGACGAGCCCGCTGGGCGACCATTGGGGCTCCAATAGTAGAATTGGATTAAATCCTCAAAGATGATATGGGGAAATTTAAATCCATGACCCTTTTAACTCACCAAAAAGATAATAATCGTTAGGCAACTAAAGCCTCTTATTATATTGTCCCTTAGTTTGCAAACTTGTCTATCATCGCAAGCAATAAATACTCGGTAAAATGTGAGCTCAGACCTGTCAATCTAAAACCTTTTTACTCGTTAATGTGGGAACTCAGTTGTAAAATGAGAGTTTGGAAGACGGATTTGTTAAAAGTATTAAATGAACTTGTCATTTCAATGGATTTTACTTGTCAATTTGCAAGGATCACTTGTTAGTGTGCTTGAACGCGCAGATGAAGGATTAGTTAAAACTTGAACGTTAATTGAACTTGTTATTTTCAAGGGTGTGCAGAAAAATACTTGTTAACACTTGAACTGACTTATCAATTTAGAATTTTTACTTGTTAATGTATCCAGCTGACCTATAACACATTATTGTTTCTCTTATGTTTGCATGAAATGGAAAAATATGGAAGAAGGAAAAATAATTAATTTCATAATAATAAAAAAAATAATATCCATACAAGCAACGGAACTGCATAAGATCTCAGCATTCAAGTATATTGAGTGTTTGAAGGGTCATTGCCTTTAGCGAGCTTCAATTTCTGAAGTACTCATTCCATTTAACGACCTAAATTCTTCACCAGCAAATGGATTTAATTGATTACAAGTAGTTTTCTTGAAAATAAATCCTGGTTGTTCAGGAGGTGGAAGAACTATGTCATTATCCAACACGGAAATGACTTCCAACATAGTTGGCCTATCTGTTGCATAGTTTTGTACACATAGAAGTCCGATATTTAAGCGTTTTATAACTTGTTCAAGACATGTCTCACCTCGTAATGATGGATCAACAATCTCCCTTGCTCTACCTTCTCCCCACATTTCCCAAACCTGGATTTATCAAAGGAATTAGGTTATTAGATTGTTGAAGAGAAATTTTTAATTTCTAAGTGGTTGATTCTTATAGACATATACTTGCGTGTCCAACCAAAGTATGGCTAATATCATCATACTGACTGCTACATTTTCTTCCGCTAACAATCTCAAGAAGTAAAACTCCAAAACTGTAGATATCAGATTTTGTTCAGAACAATCCTTCCATTGCATATTCAGGTGACATGTAACCACTGTAAATTAGAAAAGATTATCAGATGTTACAAAATTCATTCTACTTTAAAATAGTGGTGTTTTGCATTGTTGAGTACTTACTAGGTTCCAACAACATTGTTTGTGTTTGCTTCAATCTGGTCTCCACCAAATATTCTAGCCATGCCAAAATTAGAAATTTTTGGATTTAACACAGAGTCTAACAAGACATTACTAGCTTTCAAATCTCTGTGAATTATCCTTAATCTTGAATCATGGTGAAGGTATAAGATTCCTCTTGCAGCACCACAAATGATATCAAATCGTTTGCTCCAGTCTAAATGTAACTTCTTTGCTTGATCTGAACAAAATATTAAAACTATCAAAAGTGAAGAACACTTGATAAACTTCGATATTATAGAACAACAACCAAAAAAAAAAAAAAAAACAAGAAGAAAGTTTCAATATTACTTATGCAAAAACTCTTGAAAGAAGACGTACCAAAAATGAAAATGTCCAAACTTTTATTTGGCAAATATTCATAGATCAATATCCTCTCTTTTCCTTGTATGCAATAACCTAAAATCTTTACAAGATTTCTATGTTGGAGCTTTGCCATTAAAGTAGCTTCATTTTTGAACTCTTTAGTGCCTCGTCCAGAATGCTGTGATAGCCTCTTCACTGCTACAGTCATTCCATTTTGCAGTATACCCTGAAGTCAAAAATATTACTTCAATTTCCTATTAAGTGTTACATATAAGGCATGGTTTTAAAAAATATTAATGCCATTGAATTAAAAATGATGTTCATCTCAACGTCGTGAAATTTAAGACCAACTACCAGCGAATGACTACCTTATAAACTGAACCAAAACCACCATGTCCAAGCTTGTTAGCATCAGAGAAATTCTCAGTTGCTGCA